TATATATATATATATATATATATATATATATATATATATATATATATATAATACATTTAATATTAAATCAGGTTAACACAACCAGATTTATATGTGGGTCGATCATATTTTTTCCATAGAAAATTTCAACATTTTTTTTAATATTTAAATATAAACATTTAAACTTTTTTTTAGTATTTAAATATGAACATTTAAACTTTCAATATAGAGAATATATGTATATATATATTGAATATTGTCTGTTGCCACATCAACTAAACATTATTTTCTATTTCAAATCTGATGGGTCGTTATTTTCTATTTCAGATCTTGCAATCATACTGTGAAAAGAGTTGTATTTCTACAAAAATATCGAAGAATCTTGTTCAAAGGAAAGATCTTGGACCAAGGAATTTGGATGAAATATAATTACTCTGAAAGTAACATTTTCTTGCTTTCTAACATTTTATTTCTTTGCTTTTTTTTGTTACTGTATGTCTTCAATTATATATATAATATATATGTTATATACAATATATATGTATATATATGTATATATATATATATATATATATATATATATATATATATATACATATACAATATATATGTTCAACATTGAAATAACCAGATTTATATATGAGCCAACCATATTATTTTTTCTGTGGAAAGTTTTGAATATTTTTTTTGTTTTGGTATTTAAATACAAACCTTTAAACTTTCAATAGAAAAAATATATATACATATATTGAGCATTATCTGTCACACCAACTAAACATTATTTTCTGCTTCAGATTTGATGGATCTTACAATCATACTGCGAAGAGAGTTGCATTTTCACGAAAATACCGAAGATCCTATTTAAAGGACGCAACCGAGAAATTCAGACGAAATACTTATCTCAAAGGTAAGATTTTCTCGTTTTCTGTCTATTTACTTTTCTCTGTTTTTGTGTCTTCGATTATATATACAATATTAATGTTCAATATTGAATCTGGTTGAAATAACCAGATTTATATATGAGCTAATCATACTATTTTTTTTTCATTGAAAGTTTTGGACACATTCTTTTTATTTTGATATTTCAATACGAACATTTAAACTTTTAATGTAGAAAAATATATACGAACAGAATATTGTAATAAAAATTGCAATATAATTTTGATACTCCGGGAATAGCACTATAATGAAAATTAATTATTAATAAGAATTGATAAGACATAGTAAAAGTAATTATGAACACAGTAAAAATAACCATAAATATAGTAAAAATTATCATATTTATGATCTTTTTTACTATGATTTATTATAATTTTCGTAATAGTATCAGTTTTATTCTTGGCCTACTAAAATTATAATTTTTTCTACAATATTCTCTCCATATACATATATTCAACGTTGAAAGTTTAAATATTCGTATTTAAACACTAAAACAATAAAAATGTCCAGAGTTAAGTACTAGTATTATTAATGGCCAAACATCAGTCATCACTTTTATTTCATTCGACTCAACATGCTCTTTCCTATTTGATAACGTGTCAGCGGAAAAGACCGATTCTCACGAGAGTTTACTTTCCTCTGCCGGGTGTTTCTTTTTCGCATCGAAACTTCGTGTCATCGCGTACGCCTCTCACTCTGCTCTTTTGCGGCACTAGGTGCTGTTTCACGATTACACGAATTGCAGATAACGCGAGAATAATTTCCGTTGCGCCCGCGACGCTCGTTACGCGTCGCATAAACACATAATGCATCTGTCGACGACAACAGCGGGCACGATGCAAATCCGAGTGGACGGCTGTGTGACTTCTCGCGTCAGGTAGTGAATAAGCGTATTCATAATCGGACGAGAGGATATTCGCATAGCTCAGGAATTCGCATAGTCGCGCGCATATACACATATATATGTTCGAGCCATCTGATATCGTTATAATTTACATCGATGGACATAACGATCAGGCCGCTCACACGCTCCGCGGATACACGCCCTTATCGCGCGTACACCGCGATACCAGATTGCAAACCGGAATCGTTACAAGTCGGCTGGGAATTATCCTAGATAACGTCGCGGCCATCGCGGACGGTGGCGAACGGTAAAATCCCGCGTTACGTGCGCGTTCGCGGAGATCCTAGATGCACCGCGCGCGCACCACGGTGCAGCAGGAGGCGGCGACGGCGACGGCGGCCCTCCTGAACCACGAGACCCCAGTACATCTATTACGCTAATAGCGATAATAGCTCGTTTCTATGTGTATGCCGACAAGAGAGTCAGCTGCCTCCGTTAGGCGATACGACCGGGTCTCTTATCGAGAGGCACCTGCTCTGGGTGACCCAGGCGAATCGCGCGCGTACGCGCACGGTGATGAAGAACACCATCGATCAAGTATGCGCCGCTGTGTGCGAAAATCCGCGCTTGGAATTTCCCAGAGAGCATTCAACACGGTAGGAGGTGTAGAGGCCTCCGAGTCACGTACACAACGAGACTCGAGCTGACGAGTCATCCCGGAACGAGTCGCGAATTGTTTCAATTGTTATTATTATTGTTTCACTTATATATTCAGAATTTATTTTTATTTAACGGGAAATAACACATATTAAAATCACACATTAACTTGAGTCGTACATTGTGAGAGAAAAAATATCGAAAAGAGGAAAAATATTTATTCGATGAATTTAGTACTCTAGTAATATACGTGCTTAAATTCTTTTATTTAAATAAAATAAAAACGATCACTTTTGTCAGAAATTAAGCTTTTAAGAAAATGAATATTTTTTTATTTGGAAAACATTTCACATAGTTTATTTTATTTGGGAAACATTCATTAGTAGTATAAATAAATATGTTAATTTAGTAGTAAAGCAAAATAAATAAACATCTCTAATAACACAGTTTATTGGCGTTACATTGGCCCAATATTATTTATATTATGATATATATTTGGCCAATATAGCCAATATATAGTCAATATTGGTTATAAATAAACTGCAAATAAATTGCTAGTTTTGCACAACATGATTGTACCAATATTGGCGTACATTGAGAATACATTAGACCAATATAATCCAATATGTAGCCAATATTGATATCGAATGAATTGCTAATATTCGGAATTTTATAATTTACTAAAAAATACAAAGCGTCTACTTTGCAATACTAAACCGATATTTGATATATTGGGGCCCAATTTGTAGCCAATATTGCCCCAATAAACTATGCTACCAGAGATGTTATTAGTATCCACCGCGAATATTTCTTAT